AACACGTACCGGATATGACATACTGGATGGCTGTCCGAGGGAACACGTACCGGGTATGACATGTACTGGATGGCCGTCCGAGGGGAGCACGTACCGGATATGACATGTACTGGATGGTTGTCCGAGGGGAACGCTTACCGGATGTGACATGTACTGGATGGTTGTCCGAGCGGAACACGTACCGGATATGACATGTACTGGATGGCCGTTCGAGGGGAGCACGTACCGGATATGACATGTACTGGATGTCTGTCCGAGGGGAACACGTACCGGATATGACATGTACTGGATGTCTGTCCGAGGGGAACACGTACCGGATATGACATGTACTGGATGGTTGTCCGAGGGGAACGCTTACCGGATGTGACATGTACTGGATGGCTGTCCGAGGGGAACGCTTACCGGATATGACATGTACTGGACGGTTGTCCGAGGGGAACACGCACCGGATATGACATGTACTGGACGGTTGTCCGAGGGGAACACGTACCGGATATGACATGTACTGGATGGTTGTCCGAGGGAACACGTACCGGATATGACATGTACTGGACGGCTGTCCGAGGGGAACACGCACCGGATATGACATGTACTGGACGGTTGTCCGAGGGGAACACGTACCGGATATGACATGTACTGGACGGTTGTCCGAGGGGAACACGTACCGGATATGACATGTACTGGATGGTTGTCCGAGGGGAACACGTACCGGATATGACATGTACTGGACGGTTGTCCGAGGGGAACACGCACCGGATATGACATGTAGTACTGTACTGGCTTGTCCGAGGGGAACACGTACCGGATATATGACATGGTACTGGATGGTTGTCCGAGGGGAAACACGTATCCGGATATGACATGTACTGGACTGTCTGTCCGGAGGGAACGCTACCGGATATGACATGTACTGGACTGTTCTGTCCGAGGGGAACCCGCTACCGGATATTGACATGTGACTGGACTGGTTGTTCCGGAGGGAACACGTACCGGAATATGACATGTACTGATGGCTGGTCCGAGGGGAACACGTACGGATATGACATGCTGGATGCTCTGCCCGAGGGGCACACGTACGGATAATGACTTGTACTGGATGGCTGTCCTGAGGGGAACACGTACCGGATATGACACGCTCCAGATAGCTGCGCCAGCTGTGATGTTTACTCTACATGTCTGCTGGTGGCAGGTGTACGAGTGAACAGAAACGTGGTGCATGGATGTGCACTCGAACAGGTTCGAATCCCGAAGCTAGAGAAGACAGGCTGCTGCGTTCGACACGAGATAAAGAGGATAATTTTTGCAGGACTGGGTAAAATGAAAAAAATCGTTTGCTTGCTATGAGGAGAAGAGGACAGCTCGCGCACCCATGGCGACTTGATGAAGACCGCTCGTGACACCTGTGACGTGTCACAGAAGAAAGACCATGGTGCACGAGACTCGCATTGATTTTTACCGGCCCTGTGCAACCACTGGCGTCGTCGCTTCGGTGGTGTGGGTTTTGTCAGTCTCGTTACTGGCAGGACCCCTGACAGGAAGCCTGCCCCTGCCTCCAGCCGGCTCTGTCAGCCTCCTCGCCGGTAGGACCCCTGGCGGGAGGCCTGTCTGCTCCTGTCTCCGTCAATCGATTCTCTCTTCAAGTCCCCAACACGTCCTATCAGTTGCTGAGTTGACAGCGCCAGGCCGCAGCGAAGACGAATGGGAGAAGGGGCTGACTGGCGCAGGCAGCCCGGGATATCGAGTGGTCGTGGTTCCGGCCGCCCGCCAGTACGCCGCGCTGCGGTCCGCTCGCGACAGGGTATGTCCGGCCGGTGTCCGAGAGTCGGCGTCCTATTGTCAGGGAAGTGTTCAAGGGACTATGCCCTGTTATCTGGGCAGGGTCCTATTAAATGGCATATTCTGATGCAGTCTGTTTTCGGGAGACGATTCCCTGTTGTACGAGAGGTGCCCAGAAATATGCCGTTGCCGGTTCTGGCCGGATCAAAGAGCAATCATTTCCTGTCGTACGAGAGGTGCCCAGAAATATGCCGTTGCCGGTCCTGCCGGGATCAAAGAGCGATCATTTCCTGTTGTATGAGAAGTGCCCAGAAATATGCCGCTGCCGGTCCTAGCCGGATCAAAGAGCGATCATTTCCTGTTGTACGAGAAGTGCCCAGAAATATGCCGTTGCCGGCTCTGGCCGGATCAAAGAGCGATCATTTTCTGTTGTATGGGAAGTGCCCAGAAATATGCCATTGCCGGTTCTGGCCGGATCAAAGAGAGATTATTTCCTGTTGTACGAGAGGTGCCCAGAAATATGCCGTTGCCGGTTCTGGCCGGATCAAAGAGTAATCATTTCCTGTTGTACGAGAGGTGCCCAGAAATATGCCGTTGCCGGTTCTGGCCGGATCAAAGAGCAATCATTCCCTGTTGTACAAGAAGTGCCCAGAAATATGCCGTTACCGGTCCTGGTCGGATTAAAGAGCGATCATTTCTTTCTCTGCTTCGTCAGTGAAAGGAAGCAGTTTATACGTATGCGCATAATCGCACTGAAAAAGTGTTGCGCAATAAAACAGAAAGGTGCATGCTATTTATTGCAAGAGAATGTTTTACGTTCGTGCTCGACATCAATCTTGCCCTCCAGGTGCAGTTAAAAGCACCCGTCTCGTTCTGTGAAGACTGCAGGATGCTGCCCTCTTAGGTACAATTAATAGCAGCCGTCTTGTTCTTTGAAGACCGCAAGTGATACGCTTGTTAACGGCGGTACGCCAAAGCCAAATGCATATCAGACAATACAATTGGAGACTCACCGTGCCATATTTATTAAAGACTCGCCTAGTAAGTATTTAGAAACATGATCAGGGTGAGAGTCCAGTTATGCTGCAAGATCCTTTGAACAGTGCGTTTACCTTGATGACTTGCGACGTTTTAAACGTAATGGTTCTCGTCGCGTGGACAGTGGCAGGTTGCAGGTCAGTAAACAGTCGAATCAGTGTACGGCAATGTACCGGCAAGAGCCTTTGCGTGTGCGGCAAGGCTGAGATTAAACGCAGCCTATGGCACATCAAAGCAGGCATCAAAGCTTGTACGACTGGCCAAGTCACAGCACGGATGGACTACATTTCGAGACGTCTGCTGAGTTCCACGGACGTTTGTGAGCTAGCTCAATGCCTTACCCCGCGGCCCAGGTCTGGTCACATGTGATTCTGGTCACATGTCTGGGCCCAGGTCTGGTCACATGTGATTCTGGTCACATGTGACTCCCGGCGGACTGGTCTCGGTTTTCCGATGGTCCGATTCGCCCTGACTGACACGACTTCGTTCGATCCAAATTGGTCATCACTTCTCTGTGTTTGGATTTAAACTGCTGCTGGTAATACCAAACAGAGCAGACGCCCTGACCACGGCCGTAGCCAGACATTAGACCAAAATAAAACAGACGTTTGGCCGGCACCGCAACTGCCACAGCCGAGGAGGTACTGCATAGCCGCCACCTGATGGGACCACGATCTCCCCCACGCCCACACCGACGGCTAGGAAAACCATGAGCCAGCCGCGAGTCACACAGATCGAAACGTCCACAAACAGCCATTGCTCCCAGCTGATGATGGCGATGCTAGAGTTCAGGGGAAGCGGGGTTTTAAGAAGACCTTGCGAAAGAGAAGAAGACGGCGACTGCGTCCTTGACGAGAGAGAAGACGAAGACGACTCGATGAGCGAGAGGACGGGTGGGCACTTAACATGCAGACACCCTGATTCGGCTTCTTTTTCTGTAGGGGAGTCTGGCAATCGGTGCAAATTGTCACGCATACATTTGCCATTGATACGGCAGGCTCCAAACGCGGCACGCAGCGCTTTGCAAGTTTCACCAAGGGCTTGTCTGCAAAATGCAAGTGCTTTCGCACTGGGCTCTAATGGTTTCCATAAACCCCGTGCCAACACCTCTCAGTTCGCCACTGAGCCCAAACAGCTCGTGTCCAGGAGTGGTGTCATCATGTCATGTCATGTCAGACATGTCGTGTTATGTCACCATCATCCACCGACATCTGCTTTGCTGCCGACCATAAATGCTTTCAGACGCCGTCCTTGGCGTCTGCTGCCTGGGGCGTTCTCCAGCACATCGATTCACGCTGTCCTCCGAGACGTGTCTGTGCCTAGCAGTTGACCCTGATGACCGAGACGTTTCTGTGCCTATCAGGTGACCCTGATGACCGAGACGTTTCTGTGCCTATCAAGTGACCCTGATGACCGAGATGTGTCTGTGCCTATCAGGTGACCCTGATGACCGAGACGTGTCTGTGCGTATCAGGTAACCCTGATGACCGGCACGTCTATGTGCCTCATCAGGTGACCCTGATGGCCGAGACGTGCCTGTGCCTATCAGGTGACCGTCTCCATGTCTCATCAGGTGACTCTGATGACCGAGACGTCTCTGTGCCTCATCAGGTGACCATGATGACCGAGACGTCTCTGTGCCTCATCAGGTGACCCTGATGACCGAGACGTCTCTGTGCGTGATCAGGTGGCCCTGATGGCCGAGACGTCTCCGTGTCTCATCAGGACCTTGATGATCGAGACGTCTCTGTGCCCCATCAAGTGACCCCGATGATCGAGACGTTTTTGTGTGTCATCGGTTGACCTTAATAACGAGATGTCTCTATGCCTCTTCAGTTGACGCTGTCGTTCGAGACATCTCTGTACCACCTCAGGTGACCCTGATGACCCAGACGTTTCTATATCACCTCAAATGACCCTGGGGCAGAGACTGTCTGTGCAATCAGTGACCCAACTGCCGCCTCAGAAGACCTCGAAAATCGAGTCTCTGACGCCTCAGGGGATCCTGGCGCCCATGATCTCCCTCGGGTGACCTCAGTGCCCGAGACGTCTTTCTCTGGTAACACTAAAGCCCGACGTGCCTTCATTGTCGTCGTCCGATGATTGTTGTCCATTGGCCAATTGTCGTCGTTGACCATTGTCGGTGACTGATTGTCGTCGGTGACCATTGTTGTGCTTCACTGCAGCTGCGGTCTCCAGGCAGCCTGTACGTGGACGAGCGGCACCAGCTGGTGGTGCAGCTCGAATGGCTAGAGACGGTGCTGCTCTTCCAGTCGACGTACCACAAGTACGACGACATTAGTCGCGTCCATAACTTCCAGATGAGGTGGGTATTTGACCGTGCAGGATATCTTTAAAAAAATGGTGGTACTATCTCGGCCACACCGTTCTGACCTTGTTCAGGTGTCCTCCCGCGTCTTTGTGAGGGCCTTCTGAGTGACCTGCCGGCAATAATTGCTGGATTCGGTAACGCTTTCCTTCAGTGCCAACGTTTTGATAACAGCCTTTTCTAAAACACCTTCTATTGATTTGCGCTTAGCTGTCGCAGCATTAGCGTAGCAACGTTTGCCTTTTACTTTTAACCGGGGAAGGCAACAGGCTGCCGTTATTTCGTACCGTTCAAAAGTTTTGAACGACGTGGAAAATTCCGTAAGGCTACACATCAATGACCGGAAGCTGTTCGTTACTCGCCGTGAGGACTGCGCCGAACGCGTAAAGCTGGGTGCCTCCAACTTGTTACCTTTTTTGCGATTCTGGGATGCACCCCTGCTAGTTTTCATGAAGTGTTTTCTTGTGTGCCGTTTTCGTGCTTCAGTCTGGCTTACTTCATATGGATGCCAACAACCCTTATACATCCTGTTATAGCTTCTTAATCGTTTGTAGCGGCCATGAGCGGTCTAAGCGCGTTCACATGTCATGCTTCGGCGCCCTTGGTCTGAGCTTGTCTCCACGCGCGCAGGCGAGAGATCAGCGCCCTGCAGGCGGAGAACTACAGCCTGGAGCGTCAGCTGTTCAGTTACCAGAAGTCGATCGCGTTCGCCAACTCCCGCGGCACCTACTCGGACGAGCTGCCGTCGCCCGAGTCGCACACGGTCGGCTACCCGGACGCGGCCAACGGCGGTCGCAATGGGGTCGAGCACGCCCCGCACGGCCTGGCCGAGCGGTGCCTCGACGACGGCGACTACAACGCCTGACCGGGCGCCGGCCGCGGCCGGGCCTGCGGCGGCGGCGGTGGCGGCGAGGAGGCCGGCGGCGCGGCCGGCCTCCGGCTCCTGCAGGAGAACGCCGCCGGCTGCCTGCTGCGCGAGGACGCGCGCCCGCGGCCGGTCGAGCAGCAGCTGCACCGCGAGGATGGGAGGAGCCGCACACTGGAGCAGCCGTCGTACGCGCGCCAGCTCGCGCAGGGCGTGCCGCTGAGCGGCCGCCGACTGCGGTCCGAGGACAGGAGCGTGTCGGCGGAAGTGGGGCGGCCGCGCGAGTGGTGGCGCGAACAGGGGGCGCGGCCGTCGGCCGAGCACTGAGTCGGACGCCTCCGGAGCCCTGGCACCGCGCCGCGCCGCCGCGCCGACCCCCGGTCGCCCTCGTGCCGCGCGAGCCGTGTCGATAACGGGCGAGCGGTTACGGTGTGACGTGCACATATGGGTGGGTGGGGACGCTGGGTGTGGGACTGTGACAGATGCCGGAGTGATTGGTTTGCCTCCCAGATGCTGTAAGAATAAACTGGACGCTCCGGATGCCAGCGAAACGAGCAACGGCCATTTGAAACAGCGTTCATTCCATTGTAGCAGCCTGCTAACGACAAGAGCCCCTGACGTAGTGCACGGCATGCGTGTGTTTCGTGGAGCGCGAACATGTGCGGAGATTAATGCGCTGGGACTTTTTACACTGAATTGGTGTCATCGAATACGTATCGCATGTATTTTTGGACGCCATCTGTAGGATTACCGGGTGAAGTTAGACCGGTCCTTTGGGCTGGCGCTTGTGCCCAACATCGAACATGTGAAGCGTGAATTGTTGCATTGACTTAATGCGTGCATATGTGTTTTATACGTGGGTTAGGCATCCAAGTTATTTGAACAACAAGAACAACAGGATGTGTATTACGTATCGGGCCCAGCAGCGTTGCGTGCTCTGCTTGCGTGTTTTATGCTTCTACTCTCTGAAAATGGTGTGCCGTATTTTGTACGCAAAGTCTGCGCCGCAAGGGAGATGCTTTATTTAAGCCCTGCAATGAGAAGTCGCACGCTTGAATGAAGATAGCATTTAAGGGTATGGTAGAGTGTTGTGCGTAAATCCTGTTTCTCGTTCGAGTAAAAGGGATTATTACAGCTGTTGCATGGTGATACTGACAGTATTCAAGTTGCATTGATGTCGAATAGGCGCAAAACACTCCTACCTGCCCTGCGTGTTGACGCTGCGGAATGATAACTCTCCCAACCACTGCGCGTGCTGATGCTGCGGAATGCTAACTCTCCCACCCGCCCTGCGTGTTGACGCTGCGGAATGATAACTCTCCCGCGCGCCGTGCGTGCTGATGCTGTGGAATGATCACTGTTTTGCCTGCAACGAAAACGCATGATATACCGACTTATAGAACATACAATGTTTGTCTTGCTTCATCTGCGCATATATATCCTAAGCAGAACTGTGAAGAAAACCGATTATATTCTGCGAGAATGGACGCTTTAAAGCGCTATAGGTTATGCCTTGATGCATACTTTTTTAGTCAGGTCTGATTTTCAGAACTTCAGAACTTTGAGCAATTGCTTCAAGGATTAATATCGTTATTGATACCTGCCGGTGAATTGTCCATTTGCGGGATAATTCATGTTTGCAGACATCGTTAGCACTCTAATATCCTCGAGAGCAAAGGTTCGGGGTGTTTGTGGCTTCAGCGGATCGTTTCGCGAAAATTTGGTAGAGTACCTATCATTTCCCAAATCAGGGACTGCGATGAATGTATGGTAGAATCTTCAACGCAGTGGCAACTGGCCACCATTTGATTTAAGCTTCCAAGCTTCCAAGCTTCCATCTTTAAATGCCTAAAACCATGAAATTACGTCGGCCATATTTAAATATGGCCGTCATATTTTGAAGTATGTTTATCTATATTTCTTCAGTGTTTGTGCCAGCCCGAAGAATTGAGACGCATGCGAAGGTGTTTCAGGAAGAATCGGGCATGGTTTATCGATATAACTTCACTTGAAATGATACTGGACTACATATATACATTTATATATATATATATATATATATATATATATTTGTGGACTTGGGCAGTATGCTTTTCTTAATGCAAGTTTTGTTATACGTAATGGAAAATGTACATTCAATCTGTTTCATGTGCGTTTGTTCGATTGCTCAAATTAGTCCCTTATTGAACCTTTGTTAAATTAATCTTTTGAACTAAAGCCTTCATTCACATATATTGGACAGAAAATATTTGAAAATGGCAAAATACGAGGCATGTCCGACGAGGCATAATCGTTGGTGAGCCATCAGTTAACAGATTATGCATCCGAATATTTAGTTAAATTACAAAACACACGCTAACAGACGCATATCTCTTTTCCAGCCAGTTTAACGCCGTGGAAAGGTAGACATCGAATCACCTTGCTGCCGTTGGGTGGCTGAACAGGTCCAAAGAAATGCATGACTTAAGCTGTTTGTTTAAGTCGGACATTTTTTGTGATGAGGGTGGCTTTAAGAGCTTGTAGGCGGTGTTTGCTCGGGAGTGATTATGAAATCAGTTTTTTTTTTTTTGTCAGGTTAGAGCGCAGAAGTTTTTAGTTGTGGGTTTTGCGCATATTTCGGACTGGCGCTCCCTCCTGCAGTTGCATAGTCATGCGTCGTGATAGGGATGTTATGTCCATTGTAGTACAGGTAGAGTTGCGGAGCCGGCAGTCTCCGTACGGACATTTAAATTTATTCACTATATTGATGCTCTTCGCCTGGTTTTGGACCACTGTCAGGCTATATTTAGTTACAAGGTTACTGGATGTTCTGCTCTTGTAATAGCAGGTAATCCTTATTTCAGTGTTTTCGGCAGTCGGTGTCATATTTGTCTTGATGATGCTACGCAAAACTTTTTTATCCACTTTATATGAGGGGGCCTTTGATTTCGATAAAAATCGTTGATGAGCCGGTTTCTTGTCAAGTGGTTTCTGGCTTTGTCAATTCAAGGTGGACGCAATCTCTTCGTCAGTTACTCTGTTCGAATAGTGATTATTAACGAGCAATTGCTTGCGCCGTTCAAGCTCGTGGTGCGTGGCGGACCAGCTGGAGCAATATTTTAGGGCACTTCGTACAGACGAACGTATGACAGCCATGCGGCAAAGCTATGGGCACTCGTTAGTCGCGTCCATGCATTGCCAGCATCAGTGGGTTTACGGTGCACTTTTGTGACGAAAGATCCGTTGCTCACATCTGCATCGATGTCAAGGAAAAGTAAACGGTTGTCGACACTCAGGCCAGTTTTAAATCGCAATGACGATTGCCGCTGCGTAGTGGGCTGCAGTTCGTGGAGGTGGGCCTGTCTCTGACATCAACAAATATGTCATCGACATATTAGCAGTATATGGGTGGTTTAAGGTTAATGTCTTTGAGGACACGGTTCTCCAGCCAGCACATGTACATCTTTGCCAACAGGCACCCGGGCGGTGACCGCATTACGACACCATTTACTTGGCGGTAGGGTATGCCGTTAGGACAGCGGAAGAGTGCCTCTGTTGTGCAGCATCGGAGCACCGTTTCGGTTATGGATCGTGACGGCTTCAATGGCGGCAAGGTTGCCTGATTGCAGACGCAGTCAGGTATAATTTGGATTGTTCTATCAACGGAAACGTTTGTGAACAGACTATCTACGTCTAATGAATCAAGTAAACTAGTGGGGCTGCAAGACTTGATAGTGTCAATGAACTCTCCTGTTGATTTCAAGCTACTCTCTGCGGTGTGGAGGGCTCAGTCACGGCAGTTAAAGTTTTTGCCAGCTGATAAGTAGTCGTCGGGATTTGAGATATGATTGGTCTCAGAGGGGTTGTCTGTTTTATGGGTTTTAACGTTACCGTAAGCAAAATCAGAGCTATACTCACCTCTGCCCCTCGTGAGGTGCTGCCCGCCCACTACGGCGTTTGCCGCGGTAATCAGGCCGCTGACTTCCGTAGTCAGGCTTTTGGTGGATCCCTCGTGATGCTGGTGAGCTTGGATGTGTCAGGGAGGAGATGGCTTATTTTACTCAGATGGGAAGCTTTGTTAATCATGACAAATATACTGTTTAACGTTTTGTGCTACATACTGCAAGAAGTTTGGCATGGCGTGTAGTTAGTATGAAAATAAGACTTGCAATAAAAAATCAAACATGGCCCCATAACCAAGCATGTGAATGCAAGTTAAAATCCTTAAGGTAGCGTTTCACATTTGAAGACATTAAAGCAACCATCAGGTATGATGTAATAAGCTCACTTATAACTGCTTGTACGCTTTTAAGTGGAAATGACTGCTCCAGACAGCGTAATTTTTCTGTTAAGTAAATTTGCCCCTCAACGTGTCACGGTTTGATGACGTCATTGTGCCTTGCATAACATTGATTGAGAGCCAATCGACTTTAGTGCTATCTTGAAACTGTGCTTACGAACGCCAGTATAAATGACTCGACAGTTGTGTGGTCACTGGCCTTGATCTCCGCGTAGCTAATGATATGTCAGGCTTCGAATGACGTTATTTTGACGTCATGGATGGCCGGGTGACCTTGAAATAGTCTCCCAAAAAAGTCTGCACATCTTTGTGGGAGTAAAGCTCAGAAACTAGAGTGGTATAGGTCTAGAGAGGGCCAGGACTGTGAAGTGCACCGAATGATCTTCAAGATGGCCATTTCAGTAAGAGGAACTCGCAGAGCCCCGGGCATGCCGGGGTGCCGGCGGGAGTGCGTCACCGGGGTCTGCCGCTGGGCGTCACGGGTGCCCCGCTGCTGGGAAAGGAGAATATGACATCCAAATCCCTGGGGTCGTAAGTCACCACTAAGTATTAAAAGGAGTGTTCCACATTTCCATGGGATTTTGAACTGAAATAGCCGCCTTGAAGACCTTTTGGTGTCGTTCACAATTCTGCCCTTTTTAGGGAGAGCGTTTCACGTTTGTATGGGTTTTGAACTGAAAGAGTTATCTTGAAGACCTGTTGGTGCTGTTCACAATCTGGC